GTCCTTTGGGACTCTGAACATGTCCACATCATCACATGATTGAGTTCATCCTCTGTTGGTCATCCTCTTCTCTTTTACCTTTTCCAAAATTATATAGGTGTTGCTGAACCACAACAGAGCCCCAAATTCATGCTGCTAAGTGAAAAATTTGTTAAGTGATTTTTGCTCCTTTTTCTTGCCACATTTGTTAAGGGAATCACTGCAGATGTTAAGTTAGTCCCATCATTGTTAAGTGAATCTGGCTTCCCCATTGGCTTTGCTCGTGAAAGGGTCACACGTGACCCCAGGACATAGCAAGCGTCATAAATGTGAGTCAGTTGCCAAGTGACCAGGGGGATCCTGTAATGGGCATAAGTGTGAAAAGTGGTCATAAGTCACTTTTAAAGTACCATTGTAACTTTGAATGATATTGTTTCAACAACTGTTGTAAGTTGAGGACTACCTGTAATGATTGGCCAAGATACAATGTTTATTATTAGGCACATATATTGTGGTTCGGCTCCTTCAAACTCAGGCCACCCAGAGTGCTTTTATATTAAAAGAATATCTCACCCCAGAATGAATTTTCACTGCACTACAGTCATATAGAGATTCTGATCAATTTTAATCCTACATTTTCTGTACTCACAGACAGTGCCATAATATTCAGTACTAGCAGTACTACAAAAACAGCTATTCAAAGATTCTCTCGGGAGATTTTTTTTTTTTTTTTAAAAAGATATTTATATGCAGGTGCAAATCATTTTCAATCGACTAACTTTCCCACTAATCTATACCTGAAGAAGAATAAAAGAGTGAAGTTATACTTATAGTACAAAGAAATGGAGCTGAAAAGTGATTTGCAAGTCTAAGTGGTCAAATATTTTAATGAGGAAGAAAGTTTCAATGTTGCAAATAATTTCAATAATTCTCCAGATTTTGGGCATTCGATCTATACAGGAAGGGAAGCCAGCCTATCTATACATAATTGTTCTTGCTCCACTGCAATCTTTATTTCATGGGGGATGCATTCCACAGCATTTTAAAATCCTAGAATAATAATTTAAAAAAGTACAATTATTGAGCCTACCTGCCCTATAATACCAAACAAACACACTGGGATATTCATTTATGAAACAACCTAGATCATTGCACACACTTAGGTGCTGGTGTGTTTCTATAACCTATTGAGCCATAAACTTTTCAAATTTTAGCCTCGTGGTGGGGGCCTGGCTGTTGTCTCCCCTCCAGAAATGAGCCTCCACAGCGTTGTGTTCTCATAACAGGAAATTAAACTTTTGCAAAATGTGATTTTTTTTTAACGCCAAGGCCAATTTGCAAACATTTTACACTGAACTTAAAAAGATTTTTTTTTTAAAGGGAAACCAGAAGTTGCAAACAACTCCAACTGTTTTGCTCGGATCCCCGCATGGCGTCTGATGGGATCTGATAAGATCAGCTGCTTTCGAGGGCCTGATGATCGCTCTGGCCACAGGATTTGAACAGTGAAACAGTGCCGTGCCTCCCTTCCATTCTGAAATTAGAGGAGGATTGTAACATCCCCAAAAGACTCTCGTGCCATTATGAGAAGAAACCTCAGTCTTTTCACTGCTTCTCACCAAGAAACTCTTTGTCCAGTCAATTAAGAAGGCACAAAGGTCAGTTTGCAAAGGGAGCAGTTTTCTACAATTCTTCCAATTGTCCCCCCTCCTTCTTTTTGCTTATATATTTTGCTCAAACTTAAGAAGTAGCACAATTTATTGGGAGGGAATGATGGGACACAGAAGCTTCTTTATCCTGCTGTTATGCCAGAGATAATGCATATCAAATGGATTGAAATGAAGGATCCCAGTCCTTAAACTCTAAATGTTTTTATTGATTTTTTTGGAAGCATTCATCACAAGGAGCTTGGAGGCCCGGCACGATCCCAGGAGCAACAAAACAAAACCCGGAATCCCCAAGAGAGGCTCTCGAGACCAATACAAAAGAAAACAAAAAACAACGAGAAGATTTTTATTATTCTGTTTAAATCGAATTTGCAATAGACTTGAGGCCATTTATGCATGGCAAACACTCATTCCAGAGAGCCATTTATTTATTAGGTACAGCAAGGTATCTACACCCTTGACATCAAGAACTACTAGCCAGTTTGCCAACCGTTAATCCAATGAGTTGTAAAATAGTTAATTGGGGAAGAAACTGCAGAAGGCAACCAAGAGGCAGAAGCCAAAGATTGAAGGCAAACTTTCTCTTCCATATAGTACTTATTCCTGCCCCACCCTGCAAAAAAGCAGCACTTTTGATTTAGCTAATAAATGCTACCAGACAACATTCTGATTTGGCTAACAAAATATCACCATACAACTTTTATTGTCAAGACATTTGCAAGGATCTGACTGTGAAATTATCCTTTTTTTTTAGGGCTGCTCAAAATGGAGACAAAGCCCCAAGAGATTTAGTCCCTGATTTCAAATCTCACTGCTTGCATTCCGGAGAACCCAAATTTTCAGGAAATTATCATTCACACAAGAGAAGAGAAGGAATGTAGAAGGAGGAGGAGGAGGATGGGGATGGGGAAATAAGGACAACTAGAAGGCTGAACATAGGATCGCAGCATCAATTGTCCCGACTTTACTTTCAACAAGGTGGAAGTAAAGCCAAATTTGCAGGATTTTTTTTATTTTTTGCCAATTTTTTTATTTTTTTATTTTCTTACATACCATTTTAAGTATACATTCACATAATTGTTATTCTTCTTTACATTTGTCATTCTTATACATTTGTTATTCCATTTAATACATTATAATATACAGTTTAGGTTGCTTTATTTACCATCCCTTCTGCCTGTTGTAACACCACCTTATTTTCCCTTTCTTTACTCTCTTTGCTCCCTCCCTGCCTTCTCTACTTTCTTCCTTCCTCCTTCCCTTACCTCTCCCCTACTCCTACTCTTCCTCTTCCTACCCTCTTTCTCTCTCTTCCACCCTCCTCTCCTTACCTCTTCCTTCCTTCCCTCCTCTTCCTCTCATTTTCTCCTCCTTTCTCCCTTTCTTTTTCTGCTGTTATAGGTGTCTCTTTCAAATCTCAGTTTATGTTTTCTTGGGATGGTATTCAGGAAATTATTATTCATGCAAGGGAAGAGAAGGAATAGAGAAGAAGGAGAAGAAAAAGATGGGGAAATAAGGACGACCAGAAGGCTGAAAATGGGATCACCGTCCTGACTTTACTATCAAGATGGTGGGGTTGGATCTGTGAGAGGAAGGGGCTATAAGAACAGAAACTTCCTGAAGAAGAACAAGCGGCTCAGATCCGCAGAGCAAGACACCCAGGGACAATACCTGAACCCTTAATTCATCATTTGGGTTTTTTTTATTAACTTTAAAAGGGGTTTTCATAGGCGGTCAGCTTTTGTTAACTTTGTGGCTTTGTGAAATCTAGACCCCCTTTGAAGTCACAAAAGCAGACACAGACTTCAAAAGCAGACAAGCTTTCAGCCTTGGAAAGTCAGCATTTCTTTCGTACCCGATCCCATAATAGAAACTATTATAAAAAGTACAGAGGAGGAAGGCAGGAAAAAGCAGCAGCCCAGGCTTTTCATCCATTGTGGGAGCAGAGGTGGGCTCCTCGTTCAGAGTCACCACAGTATCTAGCAACAAAGTCTTGTCTACACCAGCAGGAAAAAAAAAACTTTTCAACTCCTGGCTGCTGTCAGCCTTTGCCATGTAAAAACCAGAATGGTTGACCCCTCTTAGGATCTCCTAACACAGGGGTCTGCAACCTGCAGCTCTGGAGCCTCATGTGGCTGGCTCTTTCATCCCTCTGCTGTGGCTCACGCCTGCCAATACCCGCTGGCACACAATTTATTGTGGTTTTCGACCCATCTCTCCGCCCTCCCCAAATTCAAAATGTTTTTGTTGCATGCAGAAATAAAAATTTCCTTTCTCTGTAGCTGTTCATTGATTTCATAAATTTTAATTTAATTTGATTATTTATTTGTCAGTGCACAACATATGCACAATGAGATTGCTTGAGCAGTGCTATCTTCATTGTAGATGTCAGAAGGGTTTTGTGGCTCCTGGTGTTTTCTTTTCTGTGGGTCCAAATGAAACTTTGAATGTTTAAGGTTGCCAACCCCTGTCCTAACAGGATAGGAAGGGAAGGGTCTGGCTAGGAGAAATACACCAAATCATTATAAAACCTCCCAGTTTGTAGCAGTGGCTGCTGAATTTCAAGAGAGAACCCAAGAGTTCCTCACGTGAGTGATTTGCGCCTCTTCTAAGCAAAACTTTACTGAAGGAAAAAAAAAACAGCAACAGGAGGAATCAGAGAAGCAACCGGGGAAAGCAGGGGGACAACTCCATTGGAGAAAGGGATGGTGTGTGTGTGGAGGGGGGGGGGTGTTCCAGCCCAAATGATTCGGGGCAGCGTTTATTTTCAGCAGCAGGCAGCGGCACGAAGTTAGGTTTATTTATTTAGCGTAGGGTAGCGTGCCTACCGCCCCTGTCCTAATGTCCCTTTTTATTCGTATCCTTTTCATGTAGTCAAAATCATGTTTATACTTTTATCTGTTATCTGTTATATATGCTTGACAAAACAAACAAACAAACAAAATCAATAAATAAAAACCCGAGAGGTAAAAGATGCGAATTCCAGGAGGGACAGGACGCACTCGGGAGAGGGAGAGGGCACAGCCGGAATGGACTGCCTTGGGGGCTCTTAAGCTCTCTGCAGGGTGGCCTGATGGATAATTGGGCTTTTGACCTGGAAGCGAAACGTCTTCAAGCAAAACAAGAACAACCACCACGCACTCACACATACCCCCCCCCCCAAAGACAGCCCAGTTGCCTTAGGAAAAAAGCACCTTTGGGGATATTTCCCAACCCGCAGAAGCGCCGTGGCCGGGGCAGAGGGGCACAGGAGCTCCCAGCGAGCACAGCGCTGGATCCAAAAGGGGCAACGGGGCGAGGGGCAGCTGCGCCGAGTGGAGCGCATCCTCCTTGGCCGGGACGGAGCCCTCTTACCTGTACCAGAGTAACCCCTTCTCGTAGCAGCGGTCGAAGAAATGCGGCTCGGCCCCGACGGCTCGCACGTCCGGGTGAACGCGCAGGAACTCGAGCAGCGCGCGAGTCCCGCCCTTCTTCACGCCGACGATGATGGCCTGCGGGAACTTCTTCTGGCCGGAGCCGCTGGCCACGGGCAGAGCCCCAACAGGAGCATCGGGGGGCGCCCCCTCCTCGTCTTCCTCCTCATCTTCCTCTTCCTCCCCGGGGGGCTCGGGAGGGCGCTGGGGNGGTGCTCATCTCTGTTTCAAAGCCGAAGAGCCAACGCTGTCCAAAGACATCTCCGTGGTCATGTGGCCGGCATGACTAAGCATCAAAGGAACAAGGAATGATGTTACCTTCCCACCAAAGGTGGCCCCTATTTTTCTACTTGCATTTCTTACGTGCTTTCGAACTGCTAGGCTGGCAGAAGCTGGGACAAGTAATGGGAGCTCACTCCGTTACGTGGAGCTAAGGATTCAAACAGCCGAACTGCCGACCTTTTTGATCAACAAGCTCAGCATCTTAGCCACTGAGCCACTGCATTCCACATTAGGTTAATCCATAATGTGTTTTAAATACAGTTTGTTAAACAAACCATAATTGGCTGCATTCATATATTGTGCTTCAAGTATGAATCATAGTTTGCAAATCTATGCACCTGACTTCCCATAGTGCAACATAGAACCCAGCCAGGAGATCTTGATTATCAGGAATAGTTTTACATTTAATTGGAGAATAATGAGCAAACCAGGAACAAAACCCTTTGCAAAGTATTCCTCTATAAAGCTCAAGCGCTCATTAGAGACTGAAAACTTACTATAAGTTTATTGTCATTTTGAATCGGCATACATTAAAAAGAAATTTCGTTGCATACAGCTCTCAAAGGGTCACCCTCTCATTTGTTATTTCCAAACATATGTGTGTTTTTGTTTACTACGAGTTTTACAAAATCTGGAGAAGTATAAATTATAAAGAATAGCTCACTTTGGGTTGGTATGTTACATTAATACAAATTAGATAAATCTGTACTCCATTCTGAGTAAAAAATAAATAAGTTCCATTGGTGGTTGCTATATCAGTATAATCGGTATGTTTGAGAGCCACTGAAGCCTTTGGAGGTTTAACCAGTGTCCTCGGGGTCACCTGAGTTGGTGCTCCTGGTTCCTGCAGTCTGCAATTTGTTTCTGAAAATCCGTTCATAGTCTCACTTCATTTGAAGTGTTCATCCCAAATTGCATAGCTAAAAGTCTGTAGAGATTCTCCATCATGCAGGTCACAAACATCCAAGTGCTTCAACGACCCTCTAAAAGGATGCAAATGATTAGCTGTCTGCAAGAAATCTACATCCTCCCATTCCCCACCATCCAGTCAGAGCTGTTCTGAGCTAGGCTTCCCAAGATCATGGAGCTGATTCCTCGTCCCCATAAAACCTTTTTTATTTAGGTTAAAGGCAGGGATGGGTTGCTGCTGGCATTATTGTTGATTTGGTGCATGCAAAAACCCCCACTGCTCAATGGAGACCCTACACCATTTCTGACAAATGGCAGTCCAATCTCTTCTTGAAAGCCTCCAGTGATGAAGAAATGTCCTTCTGGGTTCAGTTCCAAGTNCATCGCTCCCCCGGCGGGCGCGGGCCGGGCCGTCCCCTGGCCGCTCCTTAAGCAGCCCAGCCGGCCAGGCGTCTCTTCCCTCAGGTCCGATCCTCGCTGCCCCGGGCGCCTTTCAGCGCCTCTGCTGCTCCCCGGGCTCCCTTCGGCGCCGCCCCCACTTGCCCTCCCGGCGCGGAGGCGGGAGCCCCGACCGGCTTCTTCTTCTTCTTCTCCTCCGCTCGCCAGCCCAGCATTCAGACCAGGCGGGGCGGGGCGCGGCGAGGCGGGGCTGGAGAGACGCACCTTCCTGCCCCGCCGGGTTCCCGGCCAGGCTCGCCATCTGGCAGGCGCCCCGCTTTCCCACGGACGGAGCCTTCCCTGGGAAGGCGGAGAGCCCCGCCGGCGCTACCCCGGGCCAGGCGCCTTGGGGAGCAGCGCTCAGAGGAGCTGCCACCCGGGGAGATGCGCAGCGGGGTTGTCCGGCTTCGCTGCTTTCTCTCTCTCCCTTTCGAGGGTCTCCAGCCCAAGCCGCGCGCTCCCGGGATGCGAGGATGGGGGCTTCTCCTGGGGAGGGGGCGATTCTCTGCAAAACGGTGGACGTGCGCTTCGCCCCTTCCCACCTCATGAGTTGCGGGGGTGAGGGCTTGCCCTGGGGGTTGGGGTGGGCAACGATCCTCTGCAAGGCGGCGGACATGCGCGGAGCCCTTTCCCACCTCCCTGGATGCGAAGATGGGGACTTGTCATGGTGGGGGGGGGAGCGCGCGAGCGATCCTCTGCAAGGTGGCAGACGTGCGCTGCGCCCCTTTCCCACCACCCAGTTCGATCCTCGACGGCCGTCGTTTCTGAGCGCTTCCAGGCAGCCTCTCCCGAGAGGGGGAAAAAAAACTGATCGGAGTTGAAAAATTGACCTGCCCTTAAATGACTATCATCCATAACGACGTTTTCCTAAAGAAAACCAGGAAAACCGACTCCCTTGTCCACACAACTTGCAAACCTTCGACCCTATTTACGTTTTAGCACGATGGCCCAAGTGGGGGGCAGAGGGCGATTTAGTAAGGAATCTCTCCTAGAATCTTATGGCCTGCTGAGCTACTTTTGATAGATATGTCCCTATTCTGTGTGGTGTGGCTTCCTCACTAAGCGGAGCCTTCCCTGGGAAGCGACTGCTCCCTTTTCTGCTTCTTAATTAGTTTTTAAAAACTAATTTCACTCCGCTTCCTCCTTGTCTGGAAAATACCTTCTTGTGCCTGTTTCGAAGTTAATGAAGGTGAGAAACAGACAAAGGAGGTTTTTGTGTGTGTGTGTGTGTGTGTGTGTGTGTGTGTGTGTCTGTGTCTGTGTCTGTGTCTCTCTGTGTGTAGTTATACACGTTTAAAATAGAATTCTGAAGATCCTTATTGGATAAAAAAATATATTCCATTGCAGACAGTGAACACAAATTAATAGTCACCGACACTCAAAGCCTATTTTAAGAATTAATGCTCAATTTATACACTTGTATCAGATATTAGGATATGAAAAGATTATGATGTCATTGCAGTTTGGCCCAATGGAGGGATTCATTTTTTTTTACTACCGGTTCTGTGGGCATGGCTTGGTAGGCATGGTGTGGTTTGGTGGGCGTGGCTTGGTGGGCATGGCAGGGGAAGGATACTGCAAAATCCCCATTTCCTCCCTATCAACTGGGAGACAGAGATTAGATGGAGGGGGGGCAGCCAGAGGTGGTATTTACCGTTTCTCCGAACTACTCAAAATTTCCGTTACTGGTTCTCCAGAACTGCTCAGAACCTGCTGAATGCCATCTCTGGTTTGGCCTATAGACTTTGGAAATGAGAGTATTATGATGCAATTGTTAAAAAACTGCTATTCTTGAGTAATATAAAGCCAAATTCAGGCAAATAATTGTCCCTTTGCTGCTCTCTCACTAGTCAAACTGCAGCTGGAATATTTGCTCCGTTGTGAGTCCCACATTTAAAAGGTGAGCCCCTCAAACTTGGGACACAACCTGTGGGGGTAGGAGGAGGAAGAGAGGAGGGGTAAAACCAGAGAGCTCAGCCAGGCAGGGTTTGACAGATATGGGGCCAGAAAAGGAACAGCAATTAAATTCAAGGTAGAGAAAAGTAGTCTTGCACTTAAGCAAGAAAAACCAAAAGTACACAAATAGACTGGCTTAATAGCAGTGACTGTGAAAGGGATCTTGGAGTCTTAGTGGACAACCAGCTAAATATGAATCAGGAGTGTGCAGCGGCAGCCAAAAAAGTCAATGCAACCCTAACTTGCATTAACAGAGGGGTACAGTCAATAGCAAATGAGGTACTAATAGCACTCTATAAAGCCCTAGTAAGACCACACCTAGAATCCTGCATCCAGTTTTGGTCACCAGACTAAAAAAAAAGATGTTGAGACTCTAGAAAGAATCCAGAGAAGAGCAACCAGGATGATGAGGGGACTGGAGGCTAAAACATAGGATGAACAATTGCAGGAACTGGGCATGGCTAGTCTAGTGAAGAGAAGGAGCAGGGGAGACAGGATAGCATTTTCCAATATTTGAGGGACTGCCACAGAGAGTCAAGCTATTTTCCAAAGCACCCGAAGGCCAGACAAGGAACAATGGATGGAAAGTGAACAAGGAGAGATTCAACCTGGAAATAAGGAGACATTTTCTGGCAGTGAGAACAATAGAACAAAAGTTCCCTTCGGAAGTTGAGATGTTCAAGAAGAGATTCTGCCATCTGTCAGAAATGGTGTAGGCTCTGCTGCTTGGGTGGGGTGGGGGTGGGGTTGGACTACAAGGTCCCTTCCAACTTTTTAGATCTGTAATCTGTAACCCCTGTGGCCACTTAAGGTTGGGAGAAACAGGTAGAATGTACCTCTGGTTTGGTATAAGTATGGCTGGATTCCTACATCCTGCAATACAGGTAGTCTTCATCTTACGACAGCTCATTTAGTGACCGTTCAAAATTACAACTGACATGACCATTTTTCACACTCATGACCATTGCAGCACCCCCATGGTCACGTGATCAAAATTCAGTTGCTTGGCAAATGGTTCATACTTATAACGGTTGCAGTGTCCCGACATCATGTCATTCCCCTTTTGTGACCTTCTGAAAAGCAAAGTCAACGGGGGAAGCCAGATTCGCTTAACAGCCAGGTTACTAACTTTTCCACTGCAGCGATTCACTTAACAAGGGTGGCAAGAAAGGTTGTAAAATGAGGCAGAAATTTGCTTAACAAATGTCTCAACAGTGGAAATTTTGGGCTCAATTGTGGACTACCTGCAGTCGATTTCCATTATTAGAGCTTCTTGTACATTTGCATGAAACACCATCGTTTGAGACTTTTCCTTGACTGTGGGTGGGGTAGGGGTGGCTTGAATTCCTAGAGAGAGAGAGAGAAAAAAATAATTTTGTGTCCTGGGTGATGCTGTGGGGTGAACAGATAATCTCCCATTAGAAAAATAGAATAAATGTTTTATTAAAAGATAAAATAAAAATAATTCCTGTGGCCATTTTTGTGTCTGGATAAAGTACCACTCCAGCTGGTTTGCTGGCCCTTGAGTGAAACAGGAGAAATTGATGGCAGAGATGGAGGATGTGTGGGGCAAAATTATTTGTATTTCCAAAGGAAATGGAGAACTTGTAGTGAAAATGGAAGGAAATCAGGGAGGAATATTAGACATTCCTATTTAATAATGAGAAAGGCTGAGCGCCAAAGAATGGAGGCCTTTGAACTCTGGTGCTGGAGAAGACTCCTGCATTGAGTCCCTTGGACTGCAAGGCGATCCAATCGGTTAGTCCTAGAGGAGATACAGCCTGGCTGCTCTTTAGAAGGCCAGGTCCTGAAGAGGAAACTCAAATGCTTTGACCACCTAAGGAGAAGGAAGGACTCCCTGGAGAAGAGCCTGATGCTGGGAAAGATGGAGG